GACCTAGATAAAGATTCAGCCACATCGTATGAGTCACTAGTCAAGAAATCTTGTTAGTGTCAATTCACAAACTATTTTTTGGAACCGCAAATTGCCTGGAATATGGAATTGTGAGTCAATTAGCAGAAATTAAGAACGTAGATACCAATAGCTGTTAACGCCTCAGTTTTAATAGCGCTTGTAGTAGCAGTTTCATCTTTCTGCAATTAGATAATTAATTACTTGGCTGATCGATGGTCATGTTGTTGCCAACGTCTCTTCTTACATGCTGGATCTTTGTCTCAGTCTTAGGAATGGGTTAATTAGCTAGCAGAGGCATTAGCTGAGCTGCACGGCTCAGATTAATGTGGTGTGCCAGTGCTGTTTTTCATTATCTCTTAAACTCCCAAAAAAGATTACACAAGAGGAAAACCGGATCTTTTCTTCTCTTCTTTCTTTTCCTTCCCTTCTTCTCTCTGTGTTGGTCTCTCAGAATGCCTTTAACATGGTGGAGCTGCAGCGCTCCCTCCAGCCAAGCCCAGCGCAGTCACTCCGATATAGTTATCCTCAAAGCATCATCTCCTACCCGCAGACTAAGCCCGCCCAGGACAACAACAAAAACGGCACGTCTAATGGAAATGGCAGTGCCGCAATTGCTCTACGTCTGGCAATTCCTCCGTCAGAGACAGAAACCTTGCCGTCCCCTCTGACCTTCCGCCGCTCCCAGAAAACCCTGTCCTTCTCCAGCCAGGACTTGGCCCGCTACCTTTGTGAGGTCATCAGAGACATGGATCGCCCTGAGGATCTCGGCACTATGACCACACCACGGCGTCCTGCAGGAAAGGAGCGCGGCCTCGCGGGTGTGCGCTCTCTCAGCTCCCTAAGTGCAACTCAGGGTTCAGAAGTCAGACTCCAGGCAGCCCCAAGCACGCGGCTGGACAGGTTCAAAAACCTCCGAGCTGTGGTTAGCGATTTAAGAAGAGACTCCAAGACTCCGGAGGGCCAGAGAGACAAACTGAAGGAGAGCAGGGGGCAGCCGAACTGTGAGAAAAGCGGATGAGGTTGCACTCACAGAAACAGAACTGAAAGTTGCGAGAGAAAAAAAAGCAACGGGAATCAAAAGTCGCTGGTTGAAATCCAAAGGGAGATAATTAAATGTGATATACTTTGAGACTGGGAGGTTTGGGGTCTGTGAAGTCTGCTATAAATGTACTGTATTGATGAAACTTTGAACATTTCTGTTCTTTGATATGAACCATGTTTACCAATGAATGATCAGATGTGATGTATTGTTTACTCGGCATTGCACTGTACAGTATTTACTCTGCAGAAAGCACTTTTTGGAAGCACTCTGTGTCAAAACTACTCATGTCATAAAACTCATAAGAGTAACGTCTGAAAGCAAGACTCCAAATGAGTTTCCTGTGAGATAACTTTTCTGTTGCTGTCAATGACTCATGAAATTAATTATGTGAAAAAAAACAATTTTGTTTCATTTGTATTATCTATTTCCTTTTCAATAAATGAATATCTTTGATAATATTTCAAAGTTGCTCTCATTCGAATACAAGTTCATAATTGGTGATGCTCAAGTTTTCAGCGTTTGAAGTGGAAGCTAACCTTCATCATCACTGAAGTAACACGTAGGTACGATCTGATTATATTATATCCAGGTTATATTTAGATGATGAGGCTGGAACAGCTGTTCTTGTCTTATTCAGCTAACTATTACCAGCAACTGAGGCCTCTGATGAGAAAAACAAAGTCAATTTCAGGATTAATCATTCATGTCCACAGCCTATAGCCTCCTGACCTGAGCTTCTGGGAGTCTCCAGAACTCAAAGTGCGGGGGTCCCAGCAGGCAGCCCTACATCATACTTAATTGGCCTGCATTACTGGAGTTAAACAACTGTGACACTGG